AGATCATAGTTATTTTGTTGATCTCTTCTCAAATGTTAATGTCTTAGGATAATACAGATCACGGATGGTGAGACCTGCAATTTATTGTAATTGGAAAATTACCACTAAATAAAAGATTTAACAAGAAAGAAGCTCGTTGGACACATCAATAAGAAGACTGATTGATCTATTAGCCTTTTTGTTTTTTCTCTTGGTGGAAACCATTTTTTGGAGGTCTCCAGCATATCCTTAATGCTGATGAATACAACATTACCTTTATCAAAAAAAAAATAAGAAGACTGATAATCAATTTTATAGTGATGAAAACTACCTTCTCTTCCTGACTATTTGCTACTTTTGCGGTGGGTCTACATTTCAGGTATTTGTGAATGATCAGTTCCTCAACTGGGATCCAAACAATCGTATCAAAGTTAGAATTGTATCTGCCAGAGCCTATCACTCCTTGTTCATGCACAACATGTAAGAAGCTGATCATGATACTAATTAAAACTCTCTGTTTTTACTTTCTTATGTTTTACAGGTCAGCAGATAAGTATCTTTCTACTTTTACATATGCACATTACCTATCTTTAGATTTTACAGCCATTTAAGAGCCTTAGTGAATTAAAGGAATATCAAAAGATCATGTAAAACATGTTAGTAAGTGCAATTCAATAACCGGGTCGGTGACAGGTGTATCCGACCCACTCCAGAAGAGCTGGAGGATTTTGGTACTCCGGACTTCACAATTTACAATGCTGGTCAATTCCCATGTAACCGTTACACCCACTATATGACTTCCTCCACTAGCATAGACATCAATCTTGCTAGGAGGGAAATGGTCATCCTTGGCACACAGTATGCTGGGGAAATGAAGAAAGGTCTTTTCGGGGTAATGCACTATCTAATGCCTAAGCGCCAAATTCTCTCTCTACACTCTGGCTGCAATATGGGAAAAGAAGGAGATGTAGCCCTCTTCTTTGGATTATCAGGTAAAGTATAAAGGGATTGGTCCTCCCTTTATCGGAGAAGCAACAATACGTGCCCTCTTATCTTTATATCTCACAGCAAAATGTGAAATTGTTTCTATTCGATGCTCATGTTTCTCTCTCTGGACTTGTTCTTCATCTTAGGAACTGGGAAGACAACACTGTCTACTGATCACAACCGATACCTGATCGGAGACGATGAACACTGCTGGAGTGATCATGGTGTCTCAAACATTGAAGGAGGTTGCTATGCCAAATGCATAGACCTTGCAAGGGAGAAGGAGCCTGATATCTGGAATGCCATCAAGTTTGGCACTGGTACTTTCTGATTCGACTTTATCATCTTGATGTTATTTCCTGCCAAGTTACAGGGTGAACCCAAATTAATATTTTTTCGCTCTATGCAGTGCTGGAAAATGTAGTTTTTGAAGAACATGCCCGAGAAGTGGATTATACAGACAAATCTGTAACAGGTAACTTGTGTTGAATCGAACCGAGATTTTTCATCTCAAAGTCTTGAATCAGTCGGTGTTGCTTCATGATTATAATGTAATGGTTTGATTGCAGAGAACACCCGGGCAGCATACCCAATTGAATACATCCCGAATGCTAAAATACCATGTGTTGGTCCTCATCCAAAGAATGTCATTCTCCTTGCATGTGATGCATTCGGCGTGCTTCCACCAGTCAGCAAATTGAACTTGGCACAGACAATGTACCACTTCATCAGTGGCTACACAGCTTTGGTATGTCCTCATGAAATCTGATGCCTCACAGATTATACTTGAACTTTCAAGATGTGATGTAAAGACTATTGCTTCGACATTTCACAGGTGGCAGGAACCGAAGATGGTATTAAGGAGCCTACAGCAACATTTTCAGCATGTTTCGGTGCAGCATTTATCATGCTTCATCCAACCAAATATGCAGCCATGCTGGCTGAGAAGATGCAGAAACATGGAGCTACAGGATGGCTTGTGAACACTGGCTGGTCAGGTGGAAGGTAAGAGTACTCACGCAGAACATGTACCCAAATGATATCAAACCATATATATATAACGAATCTCTCTTTATGAACAGTTATGGATCAGGCAGCCGAATTAAGTTAGCATACACAAGGAAGATCATCGATGCCATCCACTCTGGTGCCCTTTTGAAAGCAGAATACAAGAAGACCGAGGTATTTGGGCTGGAGATTCCAACTGCACTTGAGGGAGTACCTTCCGAGATTCTGGATCCCGTGAACACTGTAAGTTAGCATACACTTTTGCATTGTCTAACTGCTACAATCTGCAAATACTGTTCTATTAATGTAACTCTTCTGTTGTTACAGTGGCCCGACAAGAAGGCACACAAGGATACCCTGTTGAAGCTGGGAGGCCTCTTTAGGAAGAATTTTGAGGTGTTCACAAACTACAAGATTGGAAGTGATAGCAACCTGACTGAGGAGATCCTGGCCGCTGGTCCGAACTTCTAATTGAAGAAGGATTTGCCTGAGTGATGGTTTGGGAAAATATGACCTAAAATATAGAAGAGAAAAATAAGATTAGCCAGAAAACATGTGTAATATTATTTTGTTAGTTACATTTTATGTGTAATTGGTGAGGAAGGAGGTTTCACATCCATGAATCTTTGTTATTTATTCTTGTTTTTGTTTCATTTGGGGTCGTGTTTGTTTTCTGGTGAGGTTGAGGCGGAGGTTGTATTTGTAACTTTCATTCACTTGTGCTGTAATATTTTCAGTCAATAATGAAAGCTTCATACCCAACTATTTCTTCTCTGTTTCATGTCAAAACGATCTTGGAATAGCACTTCAGTTTCCCTTGTTCAATCTTAACTAATAAGGCGAATTGTAAACTGTTGAGTCCTTCTCTGTTAGGAAAGAAGAGTTACTTAGAATTTCAGGAACTAATCCACCAGTCATCTATTTTACAGTGAGCCTAAAAGCTCGTCGCCCAAAACTCAGCAGATTATCATTCTAAGAGAGCATCTGTATATCTGTAATACTATAATATTCTATATGGCATAGTTGTAACATTATTCCGACCTGGAAAGTTTATGATTCCTCAGAAAGGTAGACCATCACACACATAAAGATTGTAATTATTACTACATCACATTGGCTCTTACCTGTGCGAACTGAGAAGCAATTCACTGAAAAAGTCCATCATGTGATATCAGACTGTAGACAAAACTTGAACTTAGTCACAAGAGAAAGGTTGGTACGAGCAAATTAGCTGAGGCTGCTGTGCAACATGTTCTTCACCAACTTGAAAAATTTCAAAGCAAGGAAGCTGCTGAAATTCTTATCATTTCTATTTTTTTGAAAAAAATAAATACCTGCAGTTGTTCACATATTGTACTAATTTTTCTGACAGGAAGAAGATTTGTGAAGCAACTTTCTAGTTCAACGTAATTCAACAGAAAAGAAGTTGAGTTCTCTGGATTAAATCCTATGCTTAGAGGACAAGAATTGATAATCTCAATCTATTTTTTACTGGAATGGATACTGCATCTCAAGTACATAATAAAGAGAAGAGACGGCCTATTCCCACTCTCAACAAATTCACGTTATACTCTCCGACCTTCACCATAACTCGATTTGACAGAAACACTCAATTGGGCAACAATTAGTTTAAATTCTTCAAAAGCAACTCCAGATGGCCCATTCAACTAAGTTTCTATTAGCCAGTGCAGTTATACAGATGTTGCGTTTGCTATCAATACTTAGGCAGAGGCGAATGCAGCAATTGGGCAACGGGTTCATTTGAACCCATAAATATAGAAGTGTAATGAGTTAAATGTTAGGACCCTTAAAAGATTGAACACGTCTGGGCATGTAGGAACACATCAAACTATTGACAAGCTGCTTGTCACAATGAGATACCACTGATGCAAAAAATTTCAAAGATGGGAAAGAATGAAATAGTACCCAAACAACATTAGCCAGTTCTCTGTAAGACATCTGCATAGGAAAACAAAAGAATACAACCAGAGAATATAACGACACAACATAACCAACAAGAGAGAAAAGTATCTTCACCCTTGGGCTAATTAACACTGTGAATACCCATAAATTGCAATGACACACTGGTCCCCAGGTAGAGACACACTTCAACTAGCTTGATTGCCCTTAGTGAACAATGCAATCCAGTTACTCCTTACGTCACATGGACAACATACGAGGCAAGCAATAGTTACTAGGCAATAACTAGTATCAAGAATTATAGGTCTCCAGGAGTCTTCAAGGAGTTCCACTGACTCACAGTTGAAGCAACTTCAACACCATTTGATCTTGTTAAATGATTAGTGGTTATACAAACACCTTGTACTGATCCAATGACAACATAAACCCAAAAAATAAGGAAAAAAGTAATTGCTTGGGCTCACACATGGAGTCATTAGTTTGCCCAATTTTGGATGATTGGGGAGAAAAAACTGAGACGAATGCTAAACATCATCAGAAGGATTATGTCAATAACGAGGAGCAACATGAAAAAACAGGATGAACACCACAAGTCCACACAAATTTGAGGGCATAAAACACATGCCAAAGAACTCAGCAAATATGACAGTTGCATCTCAAAACTTCACAAGGCTTGAATAACATGAAATTGGCCTCCTCAATATGATTCGTAAAAAAAGAAGGAAGGGCTTCATAGTCTTAATAAATTTGAGGGCATAAAGCACAAGCTCAAAGAAATCAGCATATACGACAGCTGTATCTCAAAGTTCAGGTTTCACGAGGTTTTAATAACATGAAACTTCACCTCCTCAATATGATTCATAAATTAAAAGGAAGAGCATCATTTGTCCAAGTAAATTTGTGGGCATAAAGCACAGGTTCAAATAAATCAGTAGATATGATAGTTGCATCTCAAAGTGCCAGGTTCGCCTGGCTTATATAACATGAAACTATGACTCCTCAAAGTGATTCATTTATGATAAATTTGAGGGGAAAGTTACACTTTCGAGTAACTCCATAAAGTTTACAGTTTTAACTAGTGATTAGGTTTCATCATGCTAAAAATCATCTCCTTGTCAAGATTCACTGGATGTGGCCACATCATCTTTGTGTTTAATCATGCCAGAATCAACAAGAACAGGAATCTCTGCTGCAAGCCATGGTGCAAGACCCAAACAGAGTGCGTGTGCAATGCCAAATCTGGGGCTAGATGAGTATTAAAAGTTAGATTTAAGTAGAAAGGCACTTGCAGGTCCATTATATAGAAAATAAAATACGACAAATATGAAGCAAAGAGTACTCCTTTATCAACCTAGGCAAACATAAGCACATCTTAGAAAAATTATATTCATTTAATTCAAACTCTACTATGTTCTCAGTTGACCAAAAATTTGCTTTACTCAACCAGAACTTGATCCTACTAGCAGTCTGATCACTGAAGAGCTAAACTCAAGTCAAAGAATGAATTAATCAATTACTCCTCAAATCAGAACCCAAACGATTTAGTATAGGCATCTGAATCTTCTATATCCATTACTCACTATTCAGACATCCCAACATCACATTATGACTATATTAAAACTGATTGTTAACCTATTGTTAGTCTTTAATTATCCTCCTTTATCTCGGACAATAGATAGAAAACCAAAAAAGAAAACAAGTGTTTGAAGAGTGGGGTGCATGTGAAAGAACTTGATATGTTGAAAAAAAGGTGGTAAACCAACACATACTATCGTGAATTAACTAAAATCATAGCAATCCAGCTTCAATTCAAATCAAAGAGAAAATAATTACCAATTCTTCGCCCATAGAGGCTTGAAATGCACGGTCAAGCATATTTTCCCTCCTCTGTACATCTACATGATCAAACAAAAGAGTAATAATCAATCAGTAAGCCACAATTCCGATAAATATCTGTAGTTGTTATGATGGAGCTGATGGATTGCCAGATTAGGGAAGTTTTGCCACC